TGCTTAGTCTTAAGTTAAACAAAGTAATCTTTGTATTTAATATAAAATACAGCATTTCTGTTATTTTTCCAGGATATAAAGGGGTTTTTTAAAAATAGAAATATCAAATATAACTACATCAAAAATACTTGTCAAAACCTTCATATTAGCTAAGTTCTCTTGCTTCTCAAGTGAATAGGAAACCACTAATGAAGTGTTCATTCAATCCCGTGCAATGTGCATACCGCAGTTCAACTACTTCTGTGTTTAACTGAGCCACAGCATGGCCATGCTTTCTTGCGTGCACACAAACAATTGTAATTCAAACACCTACATCCAGGTCACAGATGGGCTGGAGGGAAGGGAGGACAAGACTGGGGTTTTTGGTTTTGTGGTTTACTTTAATTCAAGTTAAATTATTTAGCTTACTTGAAAACCTATTGGCTTTATAATGATTGTGGTCAGCCTTCAACGCACACAAAGAAACCGAACTTTTTTTAGTTTTCTTTGACCATTCATCAGATATGAAATGATAAATTGATATGTTCATTGCTGCAGAACATAGCACATGTATAGAGAGCACACAGATTGCAGGCAAATCCATAAATAATATTTTCAGGCTTCATTTGACTTCCTTCTGTCAATTTTAGTTAGTTCACTTCTAAACTCAGTATACCAGTTCAATTGTTTAGCATCTTTGCTGCTACTTCCTATGCCACTGGCATCTGTAATCTGCATCCCTGTCTTCTTAGACCGTTGAGGGCTAGCCTGCCTTTGCTACCATGTTAAAAGCAAAGGGACAAGTCTGTATTTCTTCAATGGATAATAAAATTCAATTTAGCTGTCTCAAGCTAAATTGTATCTGCCTTACTTAAAACTGCAGAGTGATTTATGCTTAATATTAGAAAGCTAAGGTAGTGAAGTCTGGAAGTGTGTATGACAGGGAATGAAGGATGTGTCTTGGGGATTTGGAGATAAAAGAGATTTAGTAATGAAATAGCTGTTTATGGCATTTTCTAACTTGAAGTATGCATAAAACTGCTTTCGTGCTATAGGACTGAAAGGGCGGTTGATATGATCCTGATTTTTAGAATGTTTTCAGGATAGAGCTCAGGAGATACAAGTCCGTTCACCTTACATCAGTAGCAGGCATATTAGTGGACGTGACGATAAAGGCTGGTACTAGTAAACACATAGATAAATGCAGTGAATGGAGGAGGAAGATGGAATGGACTCTGCTGCTTGCAAAAGACAGTGATACTTAACAACTCTTACCAAGTTCATAGAAAATGCAAAAAAATGTAGGGATAATGTACGCATGGCGGGTTCCGTTTGTTTGGCCAGAGCCAGACTAAGTCTGTTTGTGTGCAAGTTTTACAAGATGGTTGCCTGTTTTAGTGTGTCCCTTGGATTTTTCTATTGGCCACTGTCAGAACAGAGTACTATCTAATCTCATACTGCTTAATTTGTTTCAAGAGACAGAACTGAGCATAATAAAATCAGTAGTTAACTAACTGAAAGTTTCTGGAGACTGACACAGATGTATGAAAGTTACTGTTTTCACGTAAGTGCTCTGTGGACTGCCGTATCTATTTCAGGGGACTTGCATACTAGAAATGCTGTAGATTGAAATATACTGCTCAAGTTCATTTCTTTAAATGTGTATTTTAATATCTGATTATCTTCTAAATTTATGTTGAAGGCATAAAATATGTATCTTATACTAACTTTCCCTTTCTCAGATTGAATTTCTTCTAATTGTTTTAAATCTTAAATGAGATAAAACCTTAGTGGGTCTGGGGAGATTGCATGACAAAAATCAAAGGCTATAAATTGCACCTGGCATGTTGCTTCACTGTGAAGACTGGAGATAAGGCAAGAAATAAAAATCATAAATGATATTTGGGCTGTTTAATTTTGTTATATTACCATTCATATGCCCAGAAGATATGATAGGTCTTGCATTTTGTTGTGGTTTTTGTTTTGTTTTTGTTGTTGTTTGTTTGGGGCTTTTTTGTGTGTAACATACAGTCTGACTTGTTTACTCTTGGGAGGTGGGTGGGAAGGAGCTTTGTTTTGTCCTCTGAATGTTGCTGCTGTTCATATTCTCATATCAGGGGTTATAGTTTAATAAAGTTCTTTCAGGTTTCCACTTTGAGGCTATCCATTATTAAGATTAGGTAGACACAATGACACTGGGGGTATCTGTTTAACAGGGGCATATTGTACTCATTTCAGATGCTTCAGGATAGATACACGAGCTACCAAGATCAGTGTTTTTTATTTACCTGCAACTTAGATCAATTATTTGACGTCTCTTTGGTAAGTTTAATTTAATAGATGTAATTCAAATCACAGAATCTGTTGAGAGAAACTTCCCATTCAGTGCTCACTACATGTAACTGAGACTGTTACCTCTGATTTATATTTTTCATCCTATGAAATGTGAGTATCTTGGATAAGCGTAGGTTATATTGTAGAATGGTAGGAGAAGCATACCAGCAGACGTTATTGCCATGCGGGTGAAGTTTCACTGCTCTAATGTGGAATAAAAATAAGTGAAAAAGACCTCTAAGAACTAGTCTCAAAGTCCCCAGCCATTGGAAGGATCTGATGAGCAAGGATATACCAGTAAAACTCTAAAGCTATTTGGGGTTGCCTAAGTAATGATTGCAAACTCTTGATAGTGGTTTCTTATTAAGCGTCATTTACTAAGAAATATAGTTACAGCCCGGTTATGTATGAAAGCGGAAATGGAGAAAGAAAGTTCTTGTCAAAGTAATTTTAAAGTATAGTGAAATACAAGAATGAAATTCAGGTCTTGCAAACAGCCTACAAGCGCTTTTTTATTAGTGCCCAAGTTTTCTTGAATGTGAAGTTGGTAGGTTAAACTGTAAAGTTACTTGAAGTGACTGTAAGTTCTCATGGATTAATTTTTAAAATTTAGGTTATTCTCCCTTTCTTTTCCTGTGTTGACACTCATGTCACTATTTGTACTGCTGCAGTTTTGCACATTTTTCTATAGGCAATGGTGTCTTAATATGTTGTAAACGAGCTGATTGAAAATTCTTTCTTGGTACAAGTGAAGCTTTGGCTAGAATTATGCAGGATAGGCTATATGCTATACGTCTCTTTTTGTGCAGCTGGTATTAAAACAACACTTCTTTACCTTCAGAATATTCAGGATGTGGTCTGGTTTTGAATGTGAAGTTTGACTTTGCCTGTCATCAAGTTACATGTAGTGCTAAGGTGTATCATCTAGTTATAGAAAAAATTCAGTGTGCTGTAACTTCAGATGTTAAAACACCTTCCTTCAGTTTTAAGGTAATGTTTCTTCTGTAAAACAGAATAAAATTACTTGCTGAGTTTCCAGTAGTACCATGCAGATGTAGGCAGGCTTTATGTAGGCCCGTGCTGTGTAAAAGTAAGCAGAGGTGGGATGGTATTCCTCTTGAAGCTCTGGCATTTTATCATAAATCATGCTAATAGATATGAAGGGTACACTACTTATTTCAGTATCTATGTTGTTACCAGTCACTTGGAATGTAGTAGGATGTCTGCTTTCCTGTGTAAACATTTTTATGCAAACTGGAGGTTAGAGCATGATGACCAGTGCGTATATGTTTTCCAAATTCTGTTGTGGAACTTTTGTTTTGCCCCTGAAAAGGGGAAGACCATTGTTTCAGGCTGAGTAGTATGCATGTGTGCCTTTCATATTTTGATATAGATAGATAGATAGATAGATAGATATAAAGAGAATTTCGTCTGTGTATACAGTTGGTATGTGGTAGACCGTAGAGCAGAATAAGGAAACAGCCACTGCTTCACTCAAAGCTGCATTTTTAATTTATAGTTAACTTGATGAGGAAAAAGAAGTAAAGAAGTCAGGAGGATTTGTTTAGCAAATGTGACATGGTTGTAATAGCTATGTTTTAAAGAAATCTTTGAAAAATAAAAGGAGGGATTCCAACCTTAAAAACATATTTAAGAATATTGGAAGGCAAAAGATCCATATATGTTGGTGGATTCCAAATCACTTTCAGTAATGTAATTCCATATGCATGATGTCTGTGCTTGTGGTGGAATAAGCGTTTTATAAGCCTGGTGTTTAAGGCCCGTGTTTTGGTAGTGTTTGTAAAGGCACAGTGCAGAATATGTATCACGGAGGGATGAATTACTGTGAAAGGATACATTTTATTAATTATGTTATTTTTTTTTTTTCTTTCTCCTGAATTAGTTTTAATGGTGGCAAATACCAGACTTCTGTTATCTCCAAACAGGTGTGTTCTACTTTAAATTGTAAAAGCTTCTTAAAGCTGAAGAGTTAAAAAGGACTTACAACATATATAAAACATAAAGTCAAGGTGGTGTGTTGTATAATAGCTGATCGGCTATTGTCTTGAAGAGTGCAGACTGGAATTCTGTGAATGTTCTTAAATGTGAATTAAGGGACGTTATTTTTTAATTATTTCTCTGAAGTAATTCTCTTAGTAATTCAACTTGTGAATTGTATGTCACCTCTGAAATACAACAATCTGTTTAATCAAAAACTTACATCATCTGGAGCTTCTTGAAGAAAACTAACTTAACTGATATTATCCATGACACTTCCTCTTGAGATTCTTCTGAAAATTCTTGACGTCAGTGATGAACTCAAGTGTAAAAATTTCTCAAAAGGACAGACAATTGTAGTTCTAAATGAGATCATGTATGATGAGACCTGTTCTGAAACGTGTTGGCCTTTTCTTTCCTCCTTACCTTATGATTAGAAGGAGAGTTTTGGTTAATGTTTGATTCTCATAACATAAGATCTGAGTCTTTTACAAGGATTTAATCTTTTTCTATGTCACTATAATGATGAAAAAGAATATCTTTTGTGTCTAGGATTTCTTTAATTACAAGAGTTACCAATAATGTAATCAGTCATGCTGATCTTTCTATTAATACCAACTTCTTAAGGGAAAGTTAGAATTCTTGAGTTTTGTTATCTCAATGAGGTATTCTGTTTCTTTTCCTTCTAGGCTATTTACTTTCTAGAAGAGAAGGTCAAGCAGGATCCCCTGAAAAGCCATTGTCTGATCTGGGTCGTCTCTCATACTTGGCTTACTGGAAAAGTGTCATATTAGAATACCTTAACTGCCACCATGAAAAACAAATCAGCATCAAAGGAATGAGTCGAGCTACTGGAATGTGTCCACATGATATTGCCACAACCCTGCAGCAACATAGCATGATAGATAAAAGAGAAGATAGGTTAGTGAATCTTGTGAAAATTTAAAAAATACTGAGACAAAATATTCACTTTCTCTGCTTGTAAAACAATTGATGTGAAAAATGTCTGTTTAAAATTCTGACTTTAAAATGAATAACCATCTTACTGAAGAAGTCAGTACAGCTGGGTCTTGTTAATGGGGTCTTGCGTAAAGAGTTTTTCTCCCTAAACAAATGGTGGTTTTTTGGATCCTCTTTCATGTTAATAGTTATTAGAAGTGTGTGGCCAGCTTGAAACATTTTCAGTGAAGAATTTTGTTTCATTCAGTATCATCTTCTGTAAGTACAGTTCCTGACTCTTGCTTTGCCAAATACCTTGCTTTGAATACCAGTGAGGGAAAAAATTGTGTTTGTGGGTGGCAGTCTCTCTCTCCATACTCCCTTTTTCCATCATTACTGAATTCACACAAGCCATGGGATCAGATGAGCTCTACATGAAGTCCTCCTGCTCAAGGTACTGGGAATGCAAATAACTTTTTAAAGTTTCTATAATGTTACAATCAATGTTGCAAGTTAGTGCCCTGAGAAGGTGAGTTCCTGTTTTGTTAACATCTTCTTTCTTCACATGATCTTGGTTGATATTTTAGATTTTAAGTGAGTTGTTTTTGTTATTTGGGCTCTTTTTTTTTCATAATAAACCTTAAATTACTTTCAATGGTATTCGTGTTTCTGAAGAGCTTCTTAATTCTTTTTGGATATTGCAATCATATAAACTTTATAATTAAGCAAAACTGCCTTGCAAACAGTGGGTAGCCAAAAACGAAGTGACGATCAGGAATAGCTCAGCCTCAGTAACTTCTGTGTGCATCAGCACTAGTATTCAAAACTAGTAAGTTTTTAACTAGTAAGAATGCAAGTCTTTAAAAAGAAGATTGGCTTACAGGATGATGTTATGAGAGTAGTAAAAGGAGTGCTGTCATTGCATTAGAACCTTACGTTCTGGGGTGCTTATTTATGGACAACCTGATGGGACAAATGCATTTTAAGGGGAAATCAAATATGTGTTAATAACTTATATGCGGCATCTGCCCTGTCACTAATTTTTATATGCCCTGAATACATCCACCCAGTTAGAAAATAAAGCTTTTTCATCTATAGAATTCAAAATACTTTATGAACAAGGTCAGTTAGTCTTTTTTCCTAGTTAATAAAGTTTAGACAGGGACATGATCTGACCTGGCTAAAGGTATCCAGAAGGTCAGTGGTTGAGCCAGGAAAACAAATCACATCTTTGAAATTCCTGCCAGACACTTACCTTGGGATTCAGGTATGGCTGCTTATAATTTCCTATATTTTTTCTTATATGTGGTGAAGTAGAAGTTTGTCACAATTCTGTGAAAAGGGTCGCCTGGATCCGATATTTTTTTTTTTTTTTTTTTTTTTTAAGCATTCTCTAAGCGAAAAGCTGTATTGTCACTTAACCTACTTGATTTTTACAGCATTTGAAATTCTTTCTAAAAAACCAACATATTTTCTATCATTTAAAATTGTATTTCGGTGGGATGTGTGCTAGTATATCAGCATACTGTGCTATTATATTAGTCCTTACCTGCTTTTGATATTTTACTTCATTTCTTAGTAATTAGAAAGTTGTTTTCTACTGCATCAGCATAGGACTAAGGCACATTTTTGTGCTTCATTAGAAAACCTATGTTTCTAACTGGCTTTCTTGTCCAGTTAGCTGCCGTATTCAGATGTAATGTTAACAACTTTCTCACTCTTTACTTGATGATCCATAGTGTTTTCTATTTATGCTTGTCTGTTATATTAAAAATTGGAAATTGTTCTGACAGTGACTGAAGTGTCACCACTAAACCTCTTGCATGGATTTAGAGTAGTCAGCTATAAAACCTTTACTTCCTCTCTGTTGTCCTAGTGATGTTTAGTATTGAGCTTTCACTTAATAAACTGTTGTTTTCTCACTTCCTTTTAGAAAACAGCCAGTGTAAGCCTGTTACATATGTTTGTCAGCTGATATTTTTAGTTTGATATATCAATTTATTTACCCATCTATTTTCACAGGTTATTGTGCAAAAGGATTTAACTGTAGGAAGGTTGTTTTAGGTGATCACTTTGTAAAATAAATCACTGTTTATTGGATCGTAGATTTGTAATTATTAGAAGGGAAAAGCTGATTTCAAGTCACATGGAGAAACTGAAAGCGAATCCACGTATCAATGAAGTAGATCCTGAAAGCTTGAGATGGACTCCTTTGTTAGTGTCTAATGCTGCAGTTTCTGAAGAAGAGAGAGAAGCAGAAAAGGAGGTAATAGCTGAAACTTCTTATTCTGAATTTCCCTTGCTTTGGATTTCATCACTTTGAATCTTAAATGGAGCAGTTTTAACCTTGACCACTGCTTAATGATAGAGGATACTGATACTATTGTAATGCACAGTTTTTGGAAGGTGTGCAGCAAGACATGGTAACTTTGGGGGAATTAATATGAAAACTTAAAACATAAATCACTTGTCATGAAGCTGTATTTATCACTCTTGAGGTAGTCGAAGAGCATGTAATCAGATCAAATTTGGTGCAGAGCTCAGGGGCTGCAGTGTCAATCGATTCTTTGTGTTATGAACTTGCTCAAAGTGATCCATGTCAGTGGGCATGTAATGTAGTGCTAAAGGACTTAAATCAATTCGCTGCATCATTAATAGTGCTAAATATCCCATGAAATGCAATCTTCTTTGGTTTGTTATCCTAACTGTTGTAAGGGAGCTACTAGATGATTCAGCTGAAATGTTGTTGCTAGGTTAGCCAGCAGTGCTAATCAGAGTTGACTTATTGTAATTCTTTAGCTGAATGTAAAGGATATAGCCAAGTAAATGCTGTTTCAGTGACCCGTTATTTTAACCTCAACCCTTCAGGCTGAGCGTCTGATGGAACAAGCTAGCTGCTGGGAAAAGGAAGAGCAAGAACTATTCTCCACGAGAACTAATAGTAGGCAATCACCTGCAAAAGTACAATCTAAAAATAAATATTTGCGATCTCCAGAAAGTGTGGCAGTGGTGGGTGAGCGAGGGCAATCCACGGAGCAGTCTAAGGAGAGCAGCGAGGAAGATGGCGGGGAGGAGAATCAGCAAAGTTCGCCTCCCCGGCTGACAAAGCCACAGTCGCTGGCCATAAAAAGAAAGGTGTGTTACTTCAGTGGTTTGGTTTGAAGTCATTCATCTCTGATTTCAGTCAAATCGTTATCATCAAAATAACAATCTTGGTTTTTTACAAACATTTATTAGACTGGTTTAGTCCTTTTTATATTGTTTGGACACTGAACAGCTCTTGCTATCTTATGTTTTTTCTTCTCCATCCAATTTTTTATCTTTTGGATTTTTTAGAACCGTGAAACACTAGTGACACAAAAATCAGAATTTCCTGTTAATTTTTAAACTAGTGATTGCCCTCTGCTGTTTGGCATTGGTATTGGTTCAATGTTTTAATGGTTCTTCCTTTTTTGATTTTAAGATGGAGTTCAGCATTTGAGGTTTGTCTTTTATTATTTTTAATATAGGAACTCCTTAAAGTGGCATACTGTTTTTTCAAAAGCAAATGCTGTTAAAACAAAAGAGGGGTTTTTTTTAAACCCATATTCTTCTATCTTCCAAAGAGATTTAAATGTTACATTCTGGTTACTGCAGTGTTTAAATAATTCTTAATTTCACCGAAAAATCAGCTCTTTGAATGGTTTAAATTAGTAAACTAAACATTCCAGAATTTTAAAGCACTCACCTCAGCATATGTATTTACGCGTCTCTGGTAAGAGTTAGGGAATTGGAGTGTCCCTTTGTTTGTACTTTAGAAAAGCAAACTTCAAAGTAACTATAAATCTGTGAGAATGCATAATAAGAGATGTAAACTGTTGAACAGTTTTTACTTTATAGCAGCTAACAGTAAGATTCTCTTAGTGTATTGTTTAGACCCATGTGAAGCTTGAGGTGTACTTCCTTTGTTTTTACCTACTTTTCTATATACATACTTATTTCTAAAATGGCAGAAACCAGAAATGTAGAAGGTTGTTGGGGAATTATACATCTACAGAGGAGAAATATGTTAAGTACAATTTATGTATAATTCCTATTAATATTTTTTGACAAAAGAAGGTAAAAGTCACTACAATATGAAGAAAATTCTAGTCAGTTTTAACCTACAGAAAGGTTTGTGTGCATGTATAGATACATACCTATTTTAACTGTTTAGACATTTTACTTTTAGATTCTATCTACATTTGAATTTGTTGCTTGTAAGGGTTTGGGGTTTTTTTGAATGAGTAAATAAAATATTGTAAGATCACTTTATAAAAATATATTTATTTGTTCAGAGTTAGCTAACAAACAGGAATGAAGGAAGAGTTGTATTTGTGGAATTGTTTTGCAGAGACCTTTCATACTGAAAAAGAAAAGGGGCCGTAAACGCAGAAGGATTAATAGCAGTGTTACAACAGAGACAATTTCGGAAACGACAGAGGTGTTGAATGAGCCATTTGATAACTCGGATGAAGAGCGCCCCATGCCACAGCTGGAACCTACCTGCGAGATGGATGGGGAGGATGATGACTTGAAGCCTCTGATTAGAAAAGCTTTTAAGTATCAACCTGGGCAGCAGAAACAGGAGAAGGAGGAGGAGGAGGAGCAGAACAAGGAGGAGGAAGATATTGGTTGTTACAGGAGTGATGACAATTGTACAAGTAAGCTGAAAATGTTCTTATATCTTCAAATGTAGGGTGGCCTTCAAAGGAAATGTTTACTTTTGTCATAAATCTGGAAATCTTAACATGATGTATTTAGCCATTTTGGTCTTAAAATCTTATGATCTTAATAATACTTTCTGCTTAGAGGTGCTACTGGAGCCATTAATCTCATGTAGTTTATTAGAATTCAGTGATGGCTTCAGATTTTTTTGTTTTGTTTTGTTTCTATTGTGTTTACTACTTCTGTTATTCCTGATCCATTAATATTATCATCTAGTCTTATGTTCAGAAAACAACAACTCAACAGTGCAGAGGTGTCACTGGAATATTGTTTAATGTTGGTTTTGTATCCTTGGTAAAGGATACAAGCAAAAAGTAAGATTTTATTCTGCCCCCCCCCACACACACACACACAAAAGAGAGGGATAGTTTTAACTGTGTTCTTTCAAAGCTGCTTATCTAGTTTGATTTCAAGGATATTTCCTGACAGAAAAGCTAAGGGATGGATAGTGAAACTACTAATAGAAGCCCCGTCCCTGAAAACATGAACAGTCAGGCTGGACGGGGCTCTGAGTAACCAGATCTAGTTGAAGATGTTACCACCCTCCTGCCGGGCAGTTGGACTAGATGACTTTGAAAGGTCTCTTCCAACCTGAACCACTCTGTGATTCTGTGAATGTGTGTTCATCCCTTGACCTCCTGGCTCTCAAATTATGCTTATTTTAATTCCGGAATGAATGACTGGATGCTCAAGTGTATATATTTTCTCTAAGAAGCCAGTGGGTATGATTTTAGAGTTTTTTATAATTGCATGGGAAGTTTAATCTTTGCGATCCTCAGTTGAGAGATCATGCACTGGTTTCTCTTTTAATCAGCTTTTGTATGGCTAGAGCAACCATGCTAACAAATGTTGGTGCTGTTACAAACCAGTGCACAGGTACATTAGGATATTACTACTTTTCCCTGCTTCTCAGCAGAAATGAATTAAACTAATACTAGCAAATTCTGAGTGTTCCAGCTATGTCCCAGTGGTCAGGCTTGCACTGCTTTAACTACACTGATAATTATGTATTTGTCCATGGACCATGTCATCACATTAATTGACTATAGGAGTGTTATAACACTACAGTGAGAGGCAGAACTTGGCAAAGGAGTATTGCTGAAGCCGTTGTGCTCCCAAATGCAGCATGTTATAGGCTGAGAACTTTATCTTTTTCTGGTTTATATGTAAGTGGTATCTGGCGAGACAGAAGAGAGGAGTTGTTTGTTTGGGTAGTTTTTAATAGTCAATGGATTACCTTCGTGTTCTGACACACTCTGTGTTTAGTTTCAGTTACCTTTTGGGTTTTGGCATGTATTGTGAGCTGTGTCATATGCTGCCCATGAGAAGATACTAGAATGAACCAACATTTTTTTTCCCCCCAGTGTTGGTACTAAAGCATGATTATGTGCTTACTATGGTTTGTCCTCCAAAATCATCAAACAGAAAACTCCAGGCTCTGGTGTTATTACTATCAAAAAAGATGAATATGCATTAGATCAATGTCTATATAAAGTGATGGCATACCTCTATTCTAAAAACAAAGTTTGATAATCAAATATTTAGACAATATTTTTGCTTTAGTTTACATATCTTGTGATTTAAATCTCTGGGATTCTTCTAGAGTATAGGTGGTGTTTCTGATGGTCACTGTAAAAGGCCACCAAACAAGAAGAACTTTATGTATCTGTGTAAGTGTGTTTGAGCTGTCAATATTACGTCATTCTAATGTGGTCTGAGATCAGTTTATAACTCTTGTTCTGGAGTTTCTTAATACATTTTGAGTTTATAAATTACTTTAGTAATTTACCAATTAGTTTGCACAAGTTAAGACTTTTCTTTTGTCTCTATTGCCTCCCAAAGATAATACAGAGGATGTAGCTGTGTTGGAAGAAAGCACTAAAGACAATCTTGAACCTTTAAAGAGTAAGCAGGGTTGGCCCAAAGGAGTTAAGCGTGGTCCATCTAAATGGAGGCAAAGCAAAGAAAGAAAACCTGGCTTTAAGCTCAATTTATACACTCCACCTGAAACTCCCATGGAGCCTGACTATCAGGTGCTGGTGGAAGAACAGAAGGAAGTAGCTGAAGACAAGCCCTGTTCAGTTCCTGCTGTTACAGAGGAAGTGATTAAAGAGCCTGTTGAAGTATTACCACCACCAGATGATGAGGTAAAAGAGGTAGAACCTGAACCTCTGAATCCACCTAGTGAACCCTTTGAAAAACAAGAAAATGATACAGTGAAAGCTGGGGAAGAAGATTTGAATGTAGAAGAAGGTGGAATCAATTCAAAAGATCAAGAAAAAGACAAAGCAGAGGAGATATTTTTGCAAAAAGAGGAGTCGGTGCATTTGGATGATCAGGAGGAAGAGGAGGAGGATGAAGAACCTTCTCACAATGAGGATCATGATGCAGATGATGAAGACGATAGCCACATGGGTTCAACAGAAGTGGAGAAAGAGGAATTGCCTGGTGAAGCTTTCAAAGAAATGCTGGAAACACAGCAGTCTTTTTTAGACGTAAATGTTCAAACTGGTAATTCAAATCAAGAGGACTTAATGGATTGTAGTGTTGACCTTGCAGCTGATGAGTGTGAAAGTGACCAGAAAGAACTTGCTACAGATTCAGACCCAGTGCCTGAATCTGATGATGATCATACGGATAACAACCAGGACCAAAAAGCTGGTGAAGAATTACATTCCGATTTCAAGGGAGAGAGTGATGAGACCATGGAGATTGATTCGGAGACGGTTCAAGCAGTACAGTCTCTAACCCAAGAAGCCAGTGAACATGAAGATACCTTTCAGGACTGTGCAGAGACTCAAGAGGCGTGTAGAAGTTTGCAAAACTATGCCCATAATGACCAAAGTCCCCAGATGACCACACTGGATGATTGTCAGCAGTCTGACCACAGTAGCCCAGTTTCATCTGTGCACTCTCATCCCAGCCAATCAGTTCGTTCTGTTAACAGTCCAAATGTTGCTCCTTTAGAGAACAACTATGCTCAGATCAGCCCAGATCAAAGTGCCATTTCTGTGCCGTCTCTACAGAACATGGAGACCAGCCCGATGATGGATGTTCCCTCAGTTTCTGATCATTCACAACAAGTTGTGGATAGTGGGTTTAGTGACTTAGGGAGCATTGAGAGCACAACAGAGAACTATGAAAACCCAAGCAGTTATGATTCTACAATGGGTAGTAGCATCTGTGGAAACAACTCCTCACAAAACAGTTGCTCATACAGTAGCCTTACATCTAGTAACCTAACGCAGAGTAGCTGTGCAGTGACACAGCAGATATCTAACATTAATGGAAGCTGCAGTATGATGCAACAAACAAACATAAATTCTCCTCCCACTTGTAATGTAAAATCTCCCCAAGGTTGTGTTGTTGAAAGGCCTCCAAGCAGCAACCAACAGTTACCGCAGTGCAGTATGGCCACTAATTTTACACCACCTATGCAGTTAACTGAAATCCCTGAGACTGGCAATTCCAATATTGGATTATATGAAAGAATGGGGCAGAGTGAATTTGGAGCGGGGCATTACTCACAACCATCTGCCACCTTCAGCCTTGCCAAATTGCAACAGTTAACTAACACGCTTATGGATCATTCTTTGCCTTACAGCCATTCAGCTGCTGTAACTTCCTATGCAAACAGTGCCTCTTTGTCCACCCCCTTAAGTAATACAGGGCTTGTTCAGCTTTCTCAGTCTCCACATGCTGTTCCTGGAGGACCCCAAGCACAGGCTACCATGACCCCTCCCCCCAACCTTACTCCTCCTCCCATGAATTTGCCACCTCCCCTTTTGCAGCGTAATATGACTTCATCGAATATTGGAATAACTCACACCCAAAGACTGCAGACTCAGATGACCAGCAAAGGTCACGTTTCTGTAAGAACCAAATCCACGCCTCTGCCACCTGCTGCTGCAGCCCATCAGCCACAAATTTATGGGCGTGCTTCACAGACTGTGGCCATGCAAGGGCCTGCACGGACCTTAACAATGCAGCGTGGTATGAACATGAGTGTGAATTTGATGCCAGCCCCAGCTTATAATGTCAATTCAGTGAACATGAATATGAATACCCTTAATGCTATGAATGGTTATAGTATGTCCCAGCCAATGATGAATAGTGGCTATCACAGTAATCATGGGTATATGAATCAAACACCCCAGTACCCTATGCAGATGCAGATGGGGATGATGGGAACTCAGCCATATGCACAGCAACCAATGCAGACAGCACCCCACAGTAACATGATGTACACTCCTCCGGGGCATCATGGCTACATGAATACAGGCATGTCTAAGCAGTCTCTTAATGGATCCTACATGAGAAGGTAGGCCCTTTGGAGAGACAGACTACCAAACTGGCATGTTGGATTGATCTGCACAAATATCTTTTGGAGAGTACGATTTCAAAACCAGCAATTGGTGTGAATGCAAAAACATTTGTTGGCACCATTTAAAAGCTGTATGCAGCAGAAAGCCTTATACAAGTTTGGGGTTTTTTTTTTTCTTTATTTCTTGCTTTGGTGGGTTTGTTTTTGGTTTTTTTTTTTTTAAACTTTGTGGAACTTAACTTTTCTTCTCTTTTCTTTGGGGGGAAATTAGGTGGTTTTCCATTTTTTGTTTATTTCATTGAGCTTGAAGTTCTCTGGAAAGGAAGAACTCTTTCTATGAACTGCAATTACACAGCAGCTGATGGTTCAGAGCCATTTTATGTGCCTGCTCCCATTAAAAATGTGGATAAATAGACTCCAAAACTATCAGACAGTACTGGATCGTGAGCTTTTTTCTCTCTCCTTTCCCCACATGTAAATGCCTTTTAGCAGTTCTTTTACTGTATTATTTTGTTTCTGAAGGTGACACTTCCGCATGCCGCTAATGTCTTTGTTAGTGACAGTGCATTTTGTAGTACTGTACAAGTGTTGTGCTTAACAGTAAGCCATTTCTTAATTTTTTTGCCTTGATTAGGTTACCCTAATTTGAGGGGTAAAAAAAAAAAACAGAACTATATTTTTGTTAATTATAAAACTTGTAAAAAATAATAAAAAAGCTGCAAAAGCTATTCACATTTTGGTTAGTTCAAAGGGTTTTATTGCTGTATGTTTACTGTAAAGTTGAGACTCTTCCATTTTTGTGACCAGTTTCTTTGGGGCTGGGGTAGGAAAAAAGGCAGCTTTCTGTTTTATAAATACTGTTATGTTTTTTTGTTGATTGAAACATTTCAGTGTTTATTTGTCAAGTTTTGAAACATTTTCATATATGTCCAAATACTTGGCAGGATTTAAAAAAAAAAAAAAAAGTAGTGAATTTGGTGTAAAGTTGCTATTTTATGGAAATGCCTCTAACTTTACATTTTCATTCCATCTGTAGATTTTTCTATCTTTATAAAATACTGGAGTTATTTTTTAAGGGAAAAATAGAGCAGTAGCGTGTGAATAGCTCAAACTAAGCTTACAGATCGCATGTAAAAAAGCAAAAGTTATTTGTGTCTGTTTATATTGCTTCCTTTTTTGTAGCCTTTGTACCTGTACAGAGTGACTGTAAGGGCCGAACAGAAGAGGCTTGATACATGTAAAAATAGGACCCAGTGACACTCTTGTATTTATCTGTTATCTTTTTAGTCAGTCACTTAAAAATTAAAAAAAAACACCCCACAAAGAAACCACCCAAGAAACAAAAAAAAAAACCCTGCAAAAAACAACACCCCCCCAAGCTGTACATTTTAACATAAAATAAATTATGATGAGCCATTTTTAGCCTCTTGTGTCTTGTCATAGTTTGATGTTGCATGGGAATTACCTCCTGAAACAGTGTTTGTTACAGTGCTCTTACATGCTTGATCTAAAGCCCATTAAAGTTGATGGGATTTGGATTAGGCTGTTAGAGTCTAAGTGTAGGTTACTCATCATAATTGCATACACCTTGTGAGAATAAAAGAGTATCTAAGATTATTTTTTTTAATAATCTTAATAAAATATTGAATAAATATGTATTTAATACATTCCAAGGTTGTCAATATTTAATGTATGAAACTTCTTTCCTATAGAAAGTATTAATATATATGTAAAAAGGTTTATGATGATAACAGTCAGGATCTTCGGACTGTATCCTAATTATAGAATTGTAATATCTTCCTTTGTCATTGTCGCTGGGTTACAAGATTATGCAAATCTTGTGTTGAACCTCTGAGTTCTATGTATATGCATGTATATGGGTGCACACAGACACACACACACACATATATGAACATTTCTAATCTAGCAATAGAAGGTCTGTAAAAATCAAGGCTGTCCTATATGTGGAGTTTGAGTGGACGAGGTTTAAATTGGGTGCATGTGAATCTACACCAGAAAAAAATCCTTGTAAGAATTTTCAAAAATGCTTCTAATGTGAATGTTGCCACTGAATCCCCACTCTAGCCCACTGACACTGCAGGAAGGATGCTAGCCAAGGTGAAAGATCGGTTGTCTTGACTGAAAACTCTGTATGTCACCATTCCAGTATATAAAGCAGCTTTATAGGTGAAATTTTATAAAAGTCAGAGAAATGTGTCTTTCTTTAAATAAAACCCTTAAAGTGTGTGGTGTTGCCAAATCAAGAAATTGATACTATGGATTTGTATGCATAACCTGTTAAATTTTAATGTGATGGGGCAGCAGTCTAAAATAGTGGATCAGAATGGGAGCTAAAATTGATGGTCAAACGGTAAGTCAGACTAACTTGTGTTTTAGAAGTTCAGAATGTTTGATAAGGAGAGCACAATGCAACAAAGGTCTTTGTTCATGCACTTACACTGTCAAATTTGCTTTTTGAAGGCAGTGAGTATTCATAGTGCTTAAATGATATAAGTATTTGTCTTCACAAAGTCACTGTCGCTTTTTCTTAAGTTTAGGAAAAGAGAAGGTTAACACAGTTAACGTGCAGCATTCGAGTGTGTTTAACTAGGACCTTGTGTCTTTGTTGAATAATTGCTCAAAGTAGCACTATCTCTTGTGATTTTTCATTTGTATGTTTTTACAGTGAGTGATGAAGGCACCTGCATCTTTAATCGCTGTTGTTTAGTTTCAGGTTTCCAAGCCTATAACATACAGGCAAATCAGACCTGCTTGCCATTTCAGTATGTGCTACCCTGAAACAGAGCACCTTGACTCTAGCGTATTGCTAAAAGTTCTGTATTTGCAATACATAGATTAAAACCTGGGTGGAAAATTATGTACTGTGTGTGTACAAGAGGCAAGTTTCCAATGTTTGGTTTTTTTGTTGTTTTTTTTTGTTTTGTTTTGTTTTTTTAATTTCGGAACTGAATTCCTTTCAGGAGGACAAATGGCTGTCCTGCATCTTTTTCCCATGGTGACTATTCAGCTGTGAATTGCATCACTACGCTAAAATCTCTGTCTTATAAGGCAGCTGTCTTTTCCTTGACAGTTCTACCTGTTCTAGATACTGTGTGGCCATTGCAGTGTCAGTTTTGACTGTGCTTTGGCACTGTCACAGCTGAGAATTGGCTCTTTCTTTTAGTACTTCAAAAGAATCCTTCACGGAGTTGCAATAGATGGTTCCTGTGAAATGCAGGTTTCCCTGCCTGTGCAATCTTAGCCTTTGGTTTGATAAATAGGATACTTCATACCACTAGTGATTTGCAAGAAGGAAGTAAACTTGCATAATTCGTGTACGTTGCTTTCAGACCTGGCTTGTAGGTGAAGTTGGTTCTGCTAACTCTTGTTAGTTAGCTAGTTAGGAACTTCTAAGGGTTGCCTACTTTGTGGAAGCTATCTATTCCAGAACTTCTGCTTTTTCTGATTTAGTCTAATTGATTCTGGGAGAGTGGTAGAGAAAAAAGCTGTGAAGTAAATAAGAAGTATGTTTACTTCAGAATTGCTTAATTAGTATAGCTGTACCAGCAGAGTGCTTCAGGCAAGACCTGGTTCTAGGGAAGATACTTGTCTTTGGAGCAGAACCTACTTCATCTGAAAGCTGCCAAACCACAGTACTCCTGAAAGCTGCACTCTAGCCCTTTAGCAAAGACAGTAAGTGTGGTAAGTGTGGTAAGTGTGTCACGCTCCGGCTACCTGGTCTCTCAACAGTGGACAAAATGTAACCAATTTTTTACTAGTTTTGTAAGAAGCTGTGTGATATAAGCAGAAACAGAGGACTTGAAGTGTACAAAGCTTCCATGATAGATCACTGTCCGTGTGTTTTAGTTTTATAAGCTGTTTAATTTGTCCATCAGGCAGGCTAGTTGATGGAAACAAACTCCATTTATAGACAGTGTGGTTAAATAGAAAGAGTGGGCCTGGTCATTATTTGTAGTGCTGAAAGTGATCCTGTTACAGCCCGTTCTGTAGCGACTGACACCTATAAGAACAAGCAAAGTGATCAATGTGGTAAAGACCTATGCCTCTGTTTTTCTTCCTCTTCCCTTTACTTTTGCTACTTCTCTGTATTAAAACATGTAATTCCAGCATTGTTTATGACCTATATGGTAATAATAGGTTAGCTTGACCATAGTGAAGCTCTAGGATATGCATTGATCAAAAGTTGTTGTTTTGAGCTTTGTGGAGTAGGGAGGGAGGTTTTTAAGAAAGATATGAAGTAAGATTATAGTTTTGGCTTTATCATAACTTCAGCTGAATAATTTAAATTCTTGGTAGTTTTTTTTCCTTGTACTAAATAAAAATAAATGAGCTTCGTTAAGCCATGTTTAAGGCCTCCAAGTAGTACATGTAGAAACACTGAAATAACATATTCTGTTGATTTACTTCTTGAGAAATCAGTTGTGTGTTATTTTTTCATCTCCATGGAAGAACAGCAGCTCCTAGTTTCTGAGTAGCTTGGGATCCTGTCCTTTGGAAATTATTACATTCTTTTATTGCTTTGTCAGTCTTGCCATGTACCTTTTTCCTGATCTGCTTGCTATGCAGGACAAAATGAGTGGGAACTACTTAAGAGTTCTAGTATTTTGCTTTCTATCAGTAGCTGGGAAGTTGCTTTTTGAAAGTTTTGCCAGTCTCCACCAAAATCAGCTGGACTTCAGGAAATTAAATTTTTTCCTGTGTATTTGCACATGTCTCAGACTGCAAAATACCCATCTCCAGGCCCCCCAAAAAACCTTGTTTGAATACAGTTCTGCATGTAAATCAGCTACAAGTCCTCTTCCAGTTAGAGCAGTCATGAAGCTATCGGGCAGGATACAAGAAGCAAAATAAGCTGTAACTTGACTGAGGGAAATCCTCATAGATACTTGCTGTATTTTAGGAGATCATTTGGTACAGAACTCATGTCTGTAAGGCTAATGCTAAGAAAAACGCTGCCATAGAGGTGAGAAAGTTCAGTGTAAATGAAAGACTGGGGCTGTGTATCTGAAAGGCAGGTTTGTCAGACACAAGCCTGGGAGAGCTGTTGCATGTCTGGGTTGTTAATTAAGTTGCAGTAGACAGTAAGATGCATTTGAATGTCTATGAAGTAGATGGAAAGAGTTGAGGGACCCCCTTCCAAGAATTTTTCTACTCTTTAAACCGACATCATGACTGCTCATTTATTTTTGAAGTGTCAAGTGTCTTCCTTTGAGTTTCCTTTTATTTCTGTTCTTTCCTTTTTTATTTTTTTTTTTAATACAGGTGTAGGGATACTTAATTTGCTCTAAGTCCCAGAGTTTGAGTATCTCTGTCATGAATATTGTTCATGTTGTGATGTCTAATTTGTGTTTTAACAGTAGTCTAGTTGTGCTTGTGTTCTGCTGTGTCTGAGAATTTGAAGATAAGGTCTTCGTGATACAGATAAATATAATTGAGAAGTCAAAAGCATTGCATTACGGGTGCCTGCAGCCTTGGCTCCAGTTACTGTTTGGAGATAAATGCTTTACTGGGCTTTGGGCCCAAAAAGGCAGTGAAGGAATAGGAAAGCCTTCACACTGGAGTTGCTAAGCCTATAAAGACCTGTTAACGTCTTCAAAAAATGGCTTAAAGTTGTGCCTAACTCTGTTTGGTTTGTAGTGTATACTCACAGTTCTCAGTGGCACGTTTCTGCACTGTGTTCTTTTTTTAAAGTATCCAAGACTTTTACAGTCCATACTGCACCAGTTACAAAATCTTTGTCAGCTGGTAAAGACCAAGAGAACTCTCTTTTCAGTAGCTAGGTGGTTCCTCTGAGGCACTGAGGCAGTAAATAGCTCTTACCCAATACAATGAATTAGGCAAAATTCCGGCAGGGAGGGTGATGAGTTGATGTTTTAGCAAATGCAAAAAAGGTAAATGTGGCATAATTGTGATCCTCCTCTACAGTATAGTTTGACTATCAAATACTGCTGAGGTGGCAAAACTTTCATTGTGTCAAAACACAGTTACTGATAATTTGTATCTAATAGAGAAAATTGACGAAGTTCAGGCAGAAAAGTAGATCCAGTGTCTCAATTTGTGTGCTTGGACTACTTCTGTCAACAAATACAGTTTATTAGCAACTGCATTGGGGCACAACAGTGTATACTAAGGTGACTAAAGCTGTGATAGGAGGAAACATTTGGTAGTGGTAAATATAAACAGTGGTGTCTGCAAGCACAGCAGCGGCTTTCTCCTGGTAAGTCATATCACTGTGAGATACTTTGTGAAAGTTTCAACTGTGTCTCTTGCCCTTTTAATCAAAACTAAAATTTCATTAAAACTGGTTATAAACTGTGATTATTTAGGGGTTTGTTAGGGCTGCACAAGTTCAGTGTTGGGCTTCCTCTTAGCAGTGTAAAGGACATAATGTTTTG